AATCCCCTCTCCTCCACTCCCCTCCTGGGATCTTGGGCATGCATGCACATGCATTTAGCATGATTTTGAAGCCATCAGGTCTGGGATTCGAACTGCAGTTGGCTATGTGGGAGTCCAGCAACGTAACTGCTATGCCATCTGCTGACCTCAACACATGCCATTTTTAAGGGTAAAATTGAGGGTCAGGGTCTTAGCTTGAAGATTGATTTAAGAGGACATGATCTTCTCATGGGCATTCTTGATTGGGAGGACCTTAATCAATTGCTATTCTGGGAGGGGACAATCATCAGGCCTCTGGTCCCACTCAGTCTGGGGACTATATACTTACAGTCAGCAATCTCCACCCTGCAAAAATCTTAATATTTGAATTATAACCTCATCTTTTCTTTCAAGTGGGAGCTTTTTTATTTATTAGTCTCTCAACTATTCCCTAATTCCTAGGGTTAAGAAACTATTTTCTGTCGCAAAAAGAAGGGTAGGGAGGAAGTGAGATCATACGTACTTAAGGGAGATTTCATATTGGTTCATTGAAGTAACAGTCACTCACATGGCCAATTCATTACTATTTCAAGGTCACTTTGTTTACTGTGAACTAGAACCATCAAAAATGTAGCCCAGACATGGGGTGGGTGCAACTAGAGTCTAGAGTCTGAAGCTTGACTCAGTGCCTTTCAAATGTAAATAGATGTCACAATCCAAGCAACTTAGATACTTTCATTTCTGCTCTTATTAATTTCCAGCTTAGGAATTTTTTTTTCATTTTTTCAGTCAAAGGGAGAAACTAAAGGCTCTGTCCTTTCAGAGGGTCTCTCCACAGTTTCAAAAGGTACAAGTGACTTAACTCCTGGGAAATGAAATTCAGGATTTTTCACGAGTTGAGCAACGATTCCTGTCCCAAGTACTTCATCTTTTTTTTTTTTTTTTTTGCTATAGGGCTTGTGTGCTTGCCAGAAAGACAGAAGCGAGAAATCACCCCCCCGCCAAGAGGGGATAACCATACCGAAATTCCTTCTCCTCCACTCTCCTCTTGGGATCATGTGCATGCACGCACACGTACCTGGTATTAGTTTAAGCCACCGGGTCTGGGACTCAAACCACGGTCGACTACATGGGAGTCCAGCGACATAGCTATTACGCCAACTGCTGGTTCCCCAAATACTTCATCTTATTGTAAGAGCTGGTAGGATCCAGAAAAGCAGGAAAGGTTTGAACAGCCATGAAGCTATGATTATTTCTCTGCTTAGAGCTCAGGCCAGAGGGGTCTGATGCAGGTGCATTTTATTCATTTTTCTATAATCCCCTATCTACAAATAACTAATCAAAAGGGAAACCATATTATATAGAAAAAAAAATCAGTTGGCTGTGCCTGGGGGTTCTGTCTCAAGAAAAAAGTACTGTGAGTGTGCCCTGAAGGCATGGTTACTTCCTTGGAAAATACCCTCCGTGTATTACTATGATTTACGAATCATCTTCACCACTAACATCTCATTTAACCTCATGTAGTAGGAAAGGGCAGGTATTATCCCCATTTATAGATGAAAATACTGAGGCTCAGAAATTAAATTTTGGGCCAGCAGACGGCATAGTGGTTGAGGTGCTGGACTTTCCACATGGCTGATCATGGTTCGAGTCCCGGACCTGGTGGCTTGTTTTCTCTTTTGCTCTCTGTCTCGCTCTGGTGAACTCATGTGAAAGAATAATAATGATAATAAATTTTTTTAAAAAAAAATTAAATGATTTCCCTAAAGTTACGTAACTAGTAGGTGAAGGAACAGGGCTGAAAACCTAGAACTTCGCCTACCCAGGGGCCGGCATGGTTAAGGCACTAGATTCCTGCATGGCTGATCATGGTTTAAATCCCAGACCCAATGGCTTGAAAATCACACTGGGTGTGCCTATGTGTATGCCCAAAATTGAGAGCAGAATGGACAAGGAATGTGTGGCTACCCCCCTCCCCCACTGTGGGTGATTTCTCACTTTCCCTGTCTCTGTCTCTCTGTGGCAAGCACATGCGACCCTATGGCAAAAAAAAAAAAAAAAACTTAAAAAAAAAAAAAAACTTTAACTGCCCTAAGATGTC